ATGAAAGTAAAAACCAAAAAGAATAATTCTAGTCAATTTTGTCTTGGCTTTTTATTGATCTGTAAGCTGATCTGAGAGCTGAAGATTGGGCCAAAATGCTTTAAATAAATGAATGAACACCAAATTCCATTGAAAAAAATTGAAAAGAAAGTAATTGTGTATTCTCAGCCACAGAGTAGATCTAACCTTAACTGCAGTTTTTCAATCCAAAGCAATTAGAACTTCTTTCTACACCAGTCTCCTTCACTTCCTCATTTATTTCCTTGTTGCATCTCTCCATTTATAAGAGTTCAACAAAAATAGAAATGCTTGCATTTGCAGTTGGTCAGGAATTCTACAACAGGTAGGATATGCCCAACCAGTTGTTAGCATACATGTTCCCACCTTGAACTAGGACTAACATTCACATCACTGTACAGTGGTACCTCGGGTTAAGAACTTAATTCGTTCTGGAGGTTCGTTCTTAACCTGAAGCACCACTTTAGCTAATGGGGCCTCCTGCTGCCGCCGCACCACTGCTGCACAATTTCTGTTCTCATCCTGAAGCAAAGTTCTTAACCCGAGGTACTATTTCTGGGTCTGTAACCTGAAGCGTCTGTAACCCGAGGTACAACTGTATACATTTTCATACAGAATCTGAAAAACATTTCTCACTATATCTGAGTATGCACCTATTCGTGACAGTCCAATGTCCATAGAACATCCAGATAGAAAAGGTACAGACTGTGTCATGCTGACAGGTAGGGAAGGAAACAAAGTAGGTTGTGAAAATGGCAAATGCACTGAGAGAAGTCAATGTAAAAACTGCTGGGACTGCAACACACTGTTATCTCAAAGGACATTCGCATATACTAACAACGAATATTATACTACTTCATCCCCAAGTAAAAATGAAAAACGAAAGCACACTAATCCCAACTAAAAATAGGGCACATGGTATTGTGTAAACAGTCCAAGCAAACACCTGTTTAGGCAGATCAAATGAAATCAGGGCAAAAATGCTCTAGCGCACTGTTCACTTGATTACTTAAGAATCTTAGACCATGGTTCACAGAAGGAGATGTGAAAGCTGCCTGGGGCAATCAATTGCAATCCCTTGTCAACATGCAGAACTCTCCAGATCATACAGACACATGCCTATAATCTAGACTAGGGAATGCAGAGAAGAGATGAAAGTAGGACAATTGATGCACTACAGAATAGAGTCTGCAGAAGCTCCAAAAAGCAAGGGAACCGAGCTACACATTACAAGGATGATACTTGTCTACCTATTACTTACAACAGGAATAAACAGTGGCTTATATTCTTACCCCTAATACTCTCGCACAAAAGCAAAAAAGGTTACTGCACACAGGAGGAAGAGGTTGAACTATCATCTTATGTTCTATGATGGAGCAGAAAGATAGCTATATTTCACCTTGTTTTCATCATAGAATTCAAAACAGCATACACTGTGCTCACTGGCAGTCCCTCCTCTAAGTACACCTCCTTAGTGTCCAACAGCATTGCTGTATCATGTGCCCTCGGACAATGCCCAAGGTTAAAAAAACTCACTCAAAACTTGCTTGAATATGTGACACATTTTAAAAACAATACCTCATTCCCACCCCCATCCCAGTTGATCAAATTTTGGCCTCTTTAGGTTGCAATCGTTTAATTATTTACCTGGTTCAGTCTGACTTATTTCTGAGTAGACATGTGCAGGATTGCACTTCCAAATATCTCTGCTTGGTTTTGTTTTGTTTTAAAGTAATTATATGTTTCATTAGTTTGACAACTTCATAGTCTTTTTAATAAGCTGACATCCCTTGTTAATAAACAGCAGGCTGCATTATATCAGTCTAGTTCTACAGTCTAGTACTGTTTGCTCCGATTGGCAGCAGCCTCCCAAGTCTCTTTCCCATCACATACCAACTGAGTCCTTTTTAAACTAGAGATACTAGGGCCTGAAACTGGAGTTTTCTGCATGCAGAGCAAACACTCTGAGAAACCAAAGCTCAGTAATATTTTTCCAGAAAATCAGGGCATCCTTCAAGACGATGGCAGAAAATAAAAACACCAAATCCTACCACACAGATCTGTTGCCTTTAATATGCAATATTTAGATTCCATAAGATGCTCTTGAATGTGGTAAGGAAGGGCTTTTGATTTTACATTCTGCTCTGTTCCCCAGTTCTTCATTTCTTGGCAGCACAAGCCAAATAGCCTCATTTGTGTGTGTTCCTCAATGCCTCATTTGTGTGTGATCCTATCATGCCAACCTTTGACTGCAATAGCGAATACACATCCCTCAATCAAATCATCATGGATTACAAATGCATAGCAAATATCAGAGATATTTGAAAAGGTTTGCTTATACGGCCAGCGAAAACAGCATAACCCAGTTCCAATCACCATTTTTCTTCTTATTGTTTTTGTGCGCCTTGCCGAATCAAAACCCCGGACAGACATCTCCTTTACCCCGGCGTGATGCACAACTTGCCAAGCTTCCCCCAACCCCGATTTGTCATTCATTCCCACACAAATCTGGCGTCTCCAGACCCGTCTGCAACAGACAATGTGCAGGGTGACATCAGCCAAGCTGCCGCTCGCCCCTCCCACAGACAACGTGTCAAACACAATTTACAATCCACCCACTTCTGCCTCGGGCTCCTGCCTGCGCGGCTCCCTTCTCGAGACACCTACGGCTCGGTTGCCTTGCCGCCGCCGCGCGCTTAGCACCGGCGGGGACGGGCGAAAGGGCTCAGGCGCCGCCACGCTTTGCCCGGCTTTCCTCTAACGCCGCGAGGGGAAGGGATTCCTGTGCGGGCTTCCCCGACTGCGGCAAGAAGCAGGATGGGGCGAGAGTGAGATGGGGCGGCCAACCCGCTCCTTTCCCCCAAGGAAGACTCTCCCCCTCCTCAGTTTTCTTGCTGCTGCAGGGCGAGTGTCCGTCCCCCCCCCCACACACACACCTGCCCAGTTTCAGGTGCAGACACGCAGTGACCCTCCGCGTCAGGGATACGTTTTTTCTGGTAGCCCAACGCCTCCAAAACATACAAGAGGGACGAACAGGTCCCAACCTCGGGGACTTTCCCACCCCTCGCCTACGGCCCCACGGCGAAAGGGAAACGGGGCACTATTACGAGGCGGTTCAGTTTTGCCCCCTTCCCTCAGAGAAGCCTGTTGAGAGCGGCCCCGGCAAGGGCGCCTCCGACGCCCCACTTCACTGACCTGGAGAGGTGCTTCAGGATCTGCTTCTTGATGATGCCCGCCATGGCCAGTGCGCCTCACCCCCCGCCCGCTTCAGGGAAACCGAAAGAAACCCGGCGCTCCTCGACCCATCCCGGCGCTTCCTGCCGTCCTGTGCCAGGGAGCGGAGGCGCCCCCGCTCACCCGCTCTCCGGCCCCGCCGCCATCTTGATTGCAGTATCGCCAGCTGACAGGCTTTCGCTGAGCAGAGCCGGGCGGGGAAAGGGCGGCACCAGCGCCAGGAGCGCCGCCCGCCTGGAACCCGGACGGGGGAAGCGGGCGGCTCTCGGCCGGGATTCGGCGGGCAAGGGCGGCGAGGATCCCGCCACAAGGGCTCCCCGGGAGCTGCTGCCTGACGCTGGTGTCACCTTTTGCCTCCGGTGAATGACGCCCGCTAAATCCAAGCTTTAGTGGAATAATTTCACGGCTGCGAGGCACGCCGGCCTGGAAGCTTCACCGCCCCTCTCACAAAAGTCCGTTTTCCATGCTGGGAAAGAGAAATATCTTGAGGAGTTGGTTTTTTGTGGTTGTTGGATTTTTTTGCAACAAAGAGGGGCAGCTTTTACACAATAGCACTCAACTACCTGTTTTCCAGGTCCACTTGCAACGTTTATCAGGAGCGTAATACAAAAACACGATTCCCCCCCCCCCTGTGTTCTCTCTTCGCGATGAACCCTGTCACCCAAATTCGCTATGAGAGGGGAATGAAGATCTGACTCCTTAAAGCAATTTAGAACTCCTTCCCTATTGCCCCTCCCCACATTATACTATTTTTCTCCTCACCAATTTTAGCATCTAATTACCATCAAAATCCAATAGCACATCCTGTTTACAATTACTCGGTAATAATAAGTACTACTGAAATAATTGCAAAGTGTCAAGCTGAATAAAATCACCTTAAGCCCGCAAACTATCCAAAAGCCTGAAGGGAAAAAGTCATAGTAGAATTTTTAAAAGTATGAAGACAATACCTACCCTCAACTAAAAGATAGGATTTTGTTTATGTAGTGTGGGATAACTAGTGTAAGTGAAATACTGCGTTTTGACTCTCCAATTTCTGACCTTCCACTTTAATAAATGTTTAAACGTGTTTAAAGGACCCAGCATTTGGCAGCAGAGTAATATTTCCAGATTGCCTTGTATGGGTGAAAAATGAGACACACAGTCACACATTCCTTTAAGCTTTTTTTTTTAATGTCCTGGGAAAAGTCTGCTCATCAGCAGCGAATAAATAAAAAGTCTATATATTGGACTATATTGCAGATGACGAGAGCTGGCTCTGAGCGACATAATTTTCCCCTACATTGCAGAAGTGCTGGAGGCTGAAGTTTTCCCTTACAGAGGTTTCCACGATAATTATACACAGTACTCGCATATTATATAGATGCGGAAATATAAGGCTATACAGATATTGTACGTGAACGCTGATGCTATCCGGGCATCTCACCCGATACATGCCTAAAAGGTCCCCAAAACAGAATGTTCCCTTCACACCACGGAAGAGCCGAGTTTCAAAGAACAGACATCCCCCTTTCTTGTCTGAATGGACTTAACTGAAACTGGAAACTGGGATGAAGCAGTCTAAGTTTATATTAAAACTGACTCTATTAGTCTAAGATTACAAGTCTACGCCTAATACTCAAACATAGGAAGCTAGAGCTCTTCTATTATTTCCTATCTCTATGACTTTCCCCCTACAGTATTTTCTCTTGCGTCGGGAAAGTCCTCCACTATCCCATCATTCAACGGGGCTAAGTTCCTTTTACCAATGAGAAGGCGAGAAAGAGAGGATCCGCCCGGTGGTGACTAAAGACGTTTCAGCCGCATGGTTATTTAGCGCTGGCTTGCCGATGGGGCGGAGCTGAGGGACCAAAGGAGAAAAATGGCGACTCTCGTGTTAGATAACGGCGCCTACAATGCCAAGATCGGATACAGTCACGCTCATGTCAGGTGAGAAGCCTCATTCGCTTGAGGTCTGGATGGAGTTAAATTCTTTTGGAACAGGCAGTCGGTTCTCCTATGGGTTTTCTCGCATGTTTTGATATGGGCATCTGTGAGAATGTAATCAATTCACTGGCAGTTATAAATGAATTAAGGAACTATTCCAAATGTGCAGGAATTGTCCAAACAAGCGTCCAGTGAAAAAGTGGCTATTACAGAAAGCATAATCCAGATATTAAATCCAACGAAAGAATGAAATCAGTATGGTTTTTTTTTAGAAACAGCTAGTGTAGGAGTGTGCAAGCTTCTGAGAGATCTGGGTTACAAAAGGTGTTTCCAGCAAATTGGCATGTTAAAGTAGTTTAACTGTGGAACCCAGTCTCCCAGGAGGCAGTGATGGCCACTAACCTAGATGTGGGAGGAAATCTAACCTAAAGGAGGATTTGAAAAATTCATGGAGAGGGTTTTCAAAGGCTATGATGGCTATGCTCTGCCTCCAAAGTGAGAGGAGGTAAGGTTTTGAATACAAGTTTCTGGAAACCACAGGAGGAGAGAGCGCTCTTGTGCTTTGGTCACACTTGTGGGTTTCCTACAGGCATTGGTTGATCACTTAAGTTATTGACTTTTTAAAATGTGTATAAAGCTGCTGGGTTTCTTTCCCCTCCCCACAGTGTTATTCCGAACTGTCAGTTTAGATCAAAGACTGCTCGTCTGAAAACATTTACAGCTAACCAACTGGATGAAATTAAAGATCCATCTGGACTTTTTTATATACTCCCGTTCCAGAAGGTAATTTAAATAGCATGGATATGGTTTAGTCAGATTTATGCATGAGTAGATGTAGTTTTTGAACAATAGTCATGAAGAATATTAATGAAATTAAAATCAGAAAGGAGGGAAACATTTCTTTCTAAATAACGAAGCCTTAGATGGAAATTATTGTTTGTATTTAGCGGTGCATCTTAATAATAATAAATTAAACTTGCAAACCTGTTAACACTTATTTGGGTGTAAGTCCCACTGCCTTCAGAGGAATATGCTTATATATAGAAATGGTCAGGATAAAGTCTTAAATAATGTATTTATTATACCTGATCATAAATAAATAACATGGAGTAAATACTACTCTAGGACAGGAGCCAAATCATCCAAACACCTTCAAGAGATCAGGTTTCTTCCAGTAGGGTGCTAAAGAAAGTTTGAAGGACAGTGTAAAATTATGCAAATATCAAATGGTTAGAGCAGTAACTTTACTTTTTCAATAACAGGGCTACTTGGTAAACTGGGATGTTCAAAGACAAGTGTGGGACTATCTTTATGGAAAAGAAATGTATCAGGTAATTAAACACTTTCCTATATCTTGAAGGTAGCACCAGAAGAATATAAAAATGCAGGCTGCTTATTGGAAGTCAGCATAACCTAATAGTTGAAGCTTGTGCATCAGCTTTAATTTAAACTGTGAGTGTTTTGATTTCTACAAATGAGGGCATTTACTGTTTCATTTAAAGCATGGGTTTTTATTTTTACAAAAATGTGCTTGTTCAGTGTAGGTGTTCTAAAGAATGATGTATCAGCAGATAAAATAATCCATATCTGCTTGTGGGGTCTGTCAAACCTTCATAGAGTATTTTATCTCAGTGTTGCATATTTTTCTGAATTGGAGTTTGACCTACCCCGATGCACCTGCTGATTTTACATCCCAAGATGCATCATGGCAAACCCATCTCAGCCAGTGTTTACTCAAGACTTTTATTGGTTACTGTCTTTAGCATACAGGATGATACATTTTAGCAAGTACATTATAGAGTTTAGGATATAGTTTAGGATGGGGTTTTTTTTATTGCAAGTTACCACTCAGTTTCCTAAAGAATTCCATAGAACACAAGGGAAATAACATTGCTGAACCAGAATTCAAGCTCACACTAAGGTCTTACATTCTGCACATCATGCAACAATGGAGGGCGGGGAGAGGGGGCGGGAAAGGGATCCAGCAATTGACCGCAAGCTACCAAAAGCTCCCAGGGATCAACCTGTTGGACATCCCTGCTGTATCTGTATACACAATAGTAAGTCCCTCTGAGTTCAGTGAAGCCTACTTGCAGGTAAATGGGTAGGTTGAATTACTTCACCCATTAGTCACTTGCCCACTCACTAGTTACCTCTGTAAAAATATGTAGGTTTTATTAAATTTTGTATAGCCTACAATTTTATTTCAAGTAGGTGTTCCTGCTGTCACAACAGAAAGCTACTATACTACAGTGCCAAGAAGTGTGAGCTGTGAGTTAGGAGAAAATCCCCAGTTCAAATGTCACCTTAGCCATTGATGACCCTTCATCAAGCCACTTTTACCCAGTCTCTCATCTGCAGCAGAGGAGCATTACTGACCTATCTTTCTAAGACAGTTCCAAATACTATTGAGATAATTTATGTGAAGTGTTTTGAAATATTCTCTGTACATATTATTAAGAACATATTTATTAATAGTCAGACCCTAATTTTAGATACACTCTTAAAAAAAAAGAAAGATTGCTTCTGAATCTTGAAATATTTTCCTACATAGGTAGATTTTGTAGATACCAATATCATCATCACAGAACCTTATTTCAACTTCAGCTCAATACAAGAGTCCATGAACGAAATATTGTTTGAAGAATACCAATTCCAAGCAGTTCTCAGAGTAAATGGTGAATGGCAAGTCCTCTTACTGTTTATTTTTGGGGGAGAAAATGTTTTCGTTATAATAATAATAAATTTATACACCTCCCATCTGGCTGGGTTTCCCAGCCACTCTGGGTGGCTTCCAAGACATGTAAAAGCATAATGTCAAACATTTAAAACTTCCCAATACAGGATTACCTTCAGATGTCTTCTAAAAGTTGTGTAGTTCTTTATCTCCTTAACATCTGATGGGAGGGTGTTCCACAAGGATGGCGCCACTGCTGAGAAGGCCCTCTGCCTGAAACACGTGTTAAGAAATGTATCTGACACTATGATATGGCTCTGTTTTTCAGCTGGGGCTCTCAGTGCCCATAGATACTTCCGGGATAACCCATCAGAACTGTGTTGCATCATTGTAGACAGTGGGTATTCTTTTACACACATTGTACCTTACTGCAGGAGTAAAAAGAAGAAGGAGGCCATTATAAGGTAAAAACCCATATTTTTTAATATTTTTAAAAAGATGTATTCGTGTTTTTAAAATATAAAAAAGAAAATCTTTCTTGTTCTTAGGATTAACGTGGGAGGAAAGCTCTTAACCAATCATCTAAAGGAGATAATCTCTTACAGGTAAAACACTAACTAGAATTTATTACAATCTTATCTGGTTCACAGTAATAAAAACATAGTTTATTTTATAGGGCAAAAATACTTGTTTAAAAAGATAAAAGAGAAGCTCACTTTTGATATCAAGGTTTGCTGAAGGACTGTGAAGGCTTACTTTGCCTAGATTATGGTGCAATGTATGCAATGATACTTAAAATTAGGTTTTTTGCAGCAATAAATTAATTGCAGCAGAAGTTAAATCAGAAAAATAGATGGAACACTCCAGAAAATGAGAGGTAAAATTATTCTGTGAATTGTTTTACGTATGGTAATGAAACTGCACCATAAGTTACTGGCATATCTTGTTGGTTGTTTCCAAATGCTACTGGTTCCATGGAGAATCTGAGTGAATCTGTGGGTATGCTAGGCCACATGAGTAGACTATAATGGGGCGAGGTTCATGAACTTGAGGGCTACCTCTTTTTGTATACACAAACTTTCATAAGCTACACCCTAGAAAGTTCATTGGGAATATACAGATGGGCAAAACCAACTGGGTTCCTCACAGTGAGTTAAGCTGCTCAACCTAGATTTCATGGCCACTTGTTTCCCATGTCCTATCCCCCATCTCAACAGTAGTGAGAACTTTTCTATTCTGAAGATCCCCCTGCATCCTTAGGTCTTGCTGGTTCTATTTAGAGGGCTGTTTAGTGTTAGATACTACTCATGTGCCAATTCTGAATGTCTTCTGTAAAGGTGTATAACCTCCTTTTTTAAAAAGCCCCATCAAACAGTACCTTTCCTATATACATAATTTTGTTCCTCTTGTATAGAAAGGGTGGTATGAGAATATTATTAACTTTTTCTACTAAAAACCATGAACTTCATCTGGTTTAACAGATTAGTTCCTAATCACAACTTAATGAGAACTCAAAGAAGTGCTGTGTTAAGAACGTTCATCCTCCTCTTACTGTTCTTTGGTTTAATAGCATGCCCTACTCCACAGAGGATTAAAGGCTTAAGTGAGTTTTCCACAATTAATCTAACAGCTTTACTATAACATTTAAGCTTCAATAAATACTCATATTGAATACTCATAACAGACCAGCAATGAAAACAAGATAAAGTAGCATTATTTTCTTTAAAAATTATAGGCAACTCCATGTTATGGATGAAACCCATGTGATTAACCAAGTGAAAGAAGATGTATGTTATGTTTCCCAAGACTTTTTCAAGGATATGGAGACTGCCAAGTATGGTTTTTTTTATACTGCTAAATATAGTTAATGGTAATTTTGTCTATGGCCTGAAGAATTTATTATGTATTGCCTTGTGGTGAAAAAAACCACCATTCTGTTGACAGTGGTCTATGAATACATTAAATATCAAATTCCTTTACTGAAAGCATCTTGTGTCTGGGGCTTAAATTTAAGCTTGGGTTCATTAAGGGTTAGCTCTGAAACATGTTGTTATGAAGACTGCCTTTGAGCATGTATGGAGTGCTGTTCTGACCCAAGTCCCCATATCTGGAAACAGGGATAATGATCTTTGAGGTCCCATTTCAGCCAGACTTGGGTTTATAGTCTTGATTCCGTTACTGAAGCATCTGCAATGTTCCAAATCATTTTCAAGCTCTACATATGCAATTAACTTATGTGGTTGAAATTGCATGCAATGCAGAGCACACACAGGTTCTGGCATGTTGTTGCAAGATCTCACAGGAACTCAGACAGTCCCACAGGAACTTGCAAGAGCATCCCAAAGCCTATGCAGTGTGCGGGACTTGCCCAGTAAGCATGGCAGAGCTTAAAAGCTGTCTTCCCGGGATGTGGGGGATGATGTTAAGGCTCGCTTGGCAAGGATACTTATGTGGGGATGGTTTGAATTTACAGTTTTGCATATTCCTGCCATCCCCAGAACATAAACCCCATGCAAGGTGTGATTGTCCCGCTATTAAGTTCAACATCTATATGCACTGAATACCCCAAATAGCTTTATATGGTGTTGAGCTGTCTTACTGATTAAAAGTCAAAAGGAGGTTATCCTATGCAGCTTTCTTATTTAGTTATCATCAAAGCCTCCTTTTGAGAGGTCTCCACATTTGAGAAAGTTGGACTTAGACCCATATTAGGGTAAATTGTTAATTATTTATTTGCAATGAAATGCTTTTTTTTTGTGGCTCTGAAGAATCATTAACTTAGGATGTATTCTGAATTCCAACCTGTTTCAGATTGAAGGGGGAAGAAAATACAGTAATGTTGGACTATGTTTTACCAGACTTCAGCACAATAAAAAAAGGGTTTTGTAAGGTAATTGCATAAAATCAGTCTTCTTCTTCATTTCATTTTTATACTTACATATATTTTTAAGAAAAAGATCTCAAAGCATTTACAACCTACATCAAATAAAACAATCCAGAAGACATTACAGAAGAAAATCCAATATAAAGTATATATTCAAAGCAGCATAATTAACAGGAAATTAAAATATTGCCTTTAAGATTTTGAAACTAAAACATTACAAAGGAGGTCAACTACAGAATGCACATTTAATGCAGCAAAGATAATAAAAATTATATTAAATGTTTCAAAAGGAAACATTATTAGAGGAAGTCAGATGTAAAATGCAAATTTAAAACAAGGTAATTAACACATCTGGAGGATGAAAGGTTCTCCAACACTTATGCAACCTAGTTAGAAAAAAATAAAGTCTCTATTGAGAGAGGGGGGGATGTGAAATGAATTGCCATTTTTCGTTTGTTGATTCATCCTCTTACTGTTCAGTCATAGCATGTTGGCTGCAATTTCTATGTTATTATGTGCTGATATAGCTAGGTATAATTGTATGAAAGAAATATACAAGTTTCAGATTCCCATACAGGTTTTGGATCCCAGCTACTACATGGGAAAAATCATGCAAATAAGGTGACTGATTAATGTTGATATTAAAAGCTGGTTTCATTATTACATGTGTGTTAATTCACATCTGTTTGATTTAGCCAAGGGAAGAAATGGTGTTAAGTGGAAAATACAAAACTGGTGAACAAATACTTCGTCTTACAAATGAGCGATTTGCTGTTCCAGAGATACTCTTCCATCCTTCAGATATTGGTATTCAAGAAATGGGAATTCCTGAAGCCATTGTTTATTCAATTCAGAACTTGCCGGAAGGTATTCTTATTTAAACAATGTAACTACCAAAATTAACTGTAGAACATGTTGCATAGTTAGACTTTTTGTTTTGCTTCTAAAGTTCCCATATCAAGGACAAAAACTCAGTTGTCTAGAACAGTGGTTTTCAACCAGTGTACCATGGCACCCTTGAAGGATGGTCAGGGGTATTATGGGCAACACTGACTTCTGTCCCTTTTTCCTTCCCTCCTTCCTCTGATGCCCTCTTGCATCTCTGCCTCCCAAAGGCTTGTACAGCTGTTTGTTGCAGCAGTCATGGCTACAAGCTCTGCAGGCGAATGGTGCCTCTGGGGCTGGTAAAGGGGTGCTGGTTGCCAGGAACTGAGACACCCTTGGAGTAAGCAAGCAAACGGGTGAGGGAGCCCAGCCCGCCAGTCCACCAGCCGTTGCTGTTGGGAATGGACAGACAAGTTCCAGGCCCTGTGGGGCAGTGTGAGGAGGCACATCTCTTTGAGGTGGGCGGGGGGGGGGGACAGCTCAGAGACCAGGGATGGCAGTAGTGGCTGCCCTGAGGAGAGGAGAGAAGGCTGAGGGAACACTCAAGGGAGTGTTTGAAAAATGGTGAGAGGCTGGGCTCCTAAGCCCCACAGGGGTGCTGCAGAAAGAATGTAGTTAGTCAAGGGAGCCACGGACTCAAAAAGGCTGAAAACCTCTGTTCTAGTAATTCTCCAGTAACAAATTGTAATAAACACTATTTCTTGACATGTTACTGTTGTAAAATTGCTGAAGTTACCTATGCAATATCCAGACTTCTGAATTAAGTAGTTGAATGCATCCAAAGTTGATTAGGAGCCAGAACACTTAGCACCCTCTTCATAAACTTGGAAGTAAGCAATTTGCATTAGAAGAATATTTAAACATGTGACTGAGGTACTGCCTCCAATGCAAGTGCTTTTCATTACAGACTCCGATGCAAGTGCTTCCAATGCTTTTCATTACAGACTTAATATAACTATATAAAATCAAGCAAGTTATTGTAGAATTATAACTTGTTTCTTTCTGGTCTTCATAGAAATGCAACCACATTTCTTTAAGAATATTGTTTTAACTGGTGGAAATACACATCTCCCCGGCTTCAGGGATCGTGTTTACTCTGAGGTCCGATGCCTCACTCCCACTGACTACGATGTTTCTGTTGTTCTGCCAGAGAAGTAAGTAACCTTTCAGTTACAAATGTGGATTATCAATTGACAGTTACCCACTCTATTTTTATATTCCATATTCTAGTGTCATATAATGTAGTACTTGCTGATACTGAAAATCAATATTAAACTAACTTTGTAAACTAACTGTATTTTACAGTTTACACAATTATTTTATTTACTTTCCAGCCCTATTACTTATTCCTGGGAAGGTGGAAAGCTGATTTCTGAAAATGACGATTTTGAAGATATGGTAGTAACCAGAGAAGACTATGAAGAAAATGGACATAGCATATGTGAAGAGAAATTTGATATTTAAATGGTTCACAAGATATGGACATTATATTGTATATGTTAAAGTTTTCTTAGATTGGAACCCTGATGTAGTTTTTTTTTAAAGAATGAAACTGTACGGTCAATTAATATATATGTAAGGTTTTACTCATTTTTATATACATGTAGCTTGTTGGGTTTTTTCCTTCATATTCTTTGCCACTCAAATGCTGGTAGAAACTGAAATCTGGATGCAAATGGCTGAACTGAAAATATATCCATAAAAGTACATTTCTTCAATTAAAAATATGCTATATTATTTAGTAGGAAATGAAATAAAACATTTGAATCCAATGTTTATTTGGAAAATAGTGGTTGTATTGTAACTGAACACAAGAACACTAGATCATAAATCTAGAAGGCTAGTTCCAGATTTATTCAAACACTCTGCTTAACCAATTCCTATCTACTATTACATTAAAGAGGGATTTAAGCAGGAATGCTTTTATTTTCTGTGAAAGGGAATAAAGAGGACAACAAGTCAAACAAAAAGAGTCACCAATTTAAAACATTTTTATAATAAAAAGTATTATGAAGTATTTTATTAGAGAAACAGCTCAAATCAGCTACAGACCATGTGTTGCTTTTTTAAATAAAAAACTGCAACTCTTCAACCCACCTTGGATTTTGTTCGAGGAATAATTTGTTTCCCCCATTGCAGAATGACAACCCATTGCTCATAGGTGTGGTGCAATCTGGACAGAGAAGAGCATCCAGACACCATTGCTATGTTTACAGTGGTGCCTCGCAAGACGAAAAGAATCCGTTCCGCGATTCTCTTCGTCTAGCGGTTTTTTCGTCTTGCGAAGCAACCCTATTAGCGGCTTAGAAAAAGGGAGGGGAAGCAGGGGGAAATTGCAAGACTAGCAAGACGTTTCGTCTTGCGAAGCAAGACCATAGGGAAATTCGTCTTGCAAAGCAACTCAAAAACGGAAAACCCTTTCGTCTAGCGGGTTTTCCGTCTTGCGAGGCATTCGTCTTGCGGGGCACCACTGTACTTGAGCTGTTCTACACTTACAAAGAGGCATCCAATTTGCGTGTGTGCACATAAACAGTTATACCTCACAAAACAGTAGTTTGGAAGCAACTCCTGTCCACAACGCCAACTTGTTCAAGACGTATGCTAGTGGATTAGAAGATGTGGGAAAGGTTACTAATCATGAAATATACCCTATGATGTTGCTTTCTATGGAAGACCTTTATTTGGAACATCAGCTCGTTGGAAGACTTGAAAGACTTTAAATCTTAAAGCTGGAAGAGAGCCCAGAGCCCTTGAAGATAAATGACTATTGATTCAAAACCCTAAAATGTATTTTATATAAGTGACTTTTTATTTCTATTCTTTGTATATCATATTGTTGTTTTATTGCTATGGCCGATGGCTGGCGCAAATAAAGATTTGTTCAAGCTGTAGCTGCAGCATAAAGGAATAATTGAGGAAATGGGAAGAATCCCACCCCATTGGATGAATCCTGCCTATTCATCTTCCTAAAAAGCTACACCTTGACAAATAAAGGGGATGAAACAACCCTAAGGTATCTCTGTGGGTAGTCATTACTCCTTATGGTCGCCTACCACAGAACCTTCATGTTTGTAGGCCTTAACATTTCCATAGGAAACCATACACTGCCTGAGGGCCAACATTATGCCTTGGGGCTCCTTGCCTGAGAAGTAAAATATATCTCAACACTCATAGAAAAAGCAAACAAACCTAGTGAAGTTTGACCACCGTCCACATACATACTTACACAGAATTCCTTTTGCCGTTTTTGTGGTACATTCACTCAGTATGTATTTTAATAATACAGTGGTACCTCGGGTTACATACGCTTCAGGTTACAGACTCTGCTAACCCAGAAATAGTGCTTCAGGTTAAGAACTTTGCTTCAGGATGAGAACAGAAATCGGGCTCCGGCGGCGCAGCAGCAGCGGGAGGTCCCATTAGCTAAAGTGGTGCTTTAGTTTAAAAACAGTTTCAGGTTAAGAACGGACTTCCGGGACGAATTAAGTACTTAACCCGAGGTACCACTGTAATGGGTCCGTTATCCTGCCCCACTTGCATGGACCACTCCGCTGAGAGAACCAAGTCCGTATATATTCCTCCTCCTCGGCCTTAAACCTGTTACGCCTTTTCCTCCTCTCCCATAACTTCACCGCTTTATTTCGCTGTGAGAGAACGGAAAGGCAACCGCGGAGGCTCGAAAGTATCCCGGGGGGTGGGGGGCAAAACAAACACACCCGCCGCGTCGCTTCTTCGACAGAGGGCCAGGCCGGCGCTTCGTCGCCCTGACAATCAAACTTGCCGCCCTCGCGGAAACCACCGTTGGCGGAGGGGGCGGGGCTTCCTAGGGCTCGACTTCCGGCCTCAGCTCCCGTGCCCTGTTTTCTCTCCCAGTGACAGCAGCGGAGGCGGAAGCGAGAGAGAGAAATAAATAAATATATATATACTGTGTTCGAACCGGTCAGGTTAGGTTGTGCTGAGGTGGCCGTCATGGCGTAGCAGAGCCGGGGGTCGCGGCACGGTCAACCACGCCCCGCGGTGGGGCAGCGCTTCAGGTTGAGGTGAGAAGCCCGCGGGGCTGTTTGCTGCGGCGGGGGGCCGAGCGTGGCCTTGAGACCGCGGAGAAGGGAAGGGCTTGCTCGCTTCCTTCCTCAGAACCGTAGGGTTGGGCCTGGGCTGCTCACAAAGTGGGGCAAGAGGGCTTGGCGGGTGGGGGAGCTTCCCTTTTGTGCCGCCGCCCCCGAACAGGCAGTTGCCGAGTGGCTGTCAGCCGACTTGGGGAGAGGGAAGGCAAGGGGCCTATCTGCCTGCGGTGTGGCAGGAGCTCTCAAACCCTTTCTCAGGTAAGAGGGAGGGCTGCTCTGCCGTGCTGAGGGGTGGCTGGTCGAGGTATTGAAATTCCCTAATTGCTCTTTAAGGTTTCTGCTCTTATTCCACTGCCGCTCTCATTTCAGCAGCAAAGGTTCTTCGTTAAAAGATGAAACCAGTCTTGCTGTGATAAATGCAAAGTATCCCGCACAAATATTGCTGAAGTGTCCAGTAACGGTAGATTTTACCGTGAAAATATATTTGAAGGCTTGTTTTGACAGAAGCACACACGAGTGACTTATGTAGAACATTAATTGGAGCTTTTGTGATCCAAATGGGGCGTGAGAGCATCTGTGCGCATATTATGTGTACTTCCCTTGCTTATTACAGGACTGTATGTGACAAAGCCCTTGTGAGGATTGTCAGGTGTCTCTTCTAAGCCACACCTCTTCTTTTAAGGCAACAGCCTTCATTAAGCTACTGCTGTATAGGAAATAATTGTTTTCCGGTGCCTCCTACACTGAGTGTTCAATGTCCATTCTGAAACTTTCTTCTGACAATTCAGTTTAAATATAGTCAGCAAGCCTCGGAGGCATGTTGGCAGCAGTAAGCAGTTAAATGGAAATCTTACCCTTTGAAAACACCACCTGGGGAAAGTTGCTAGTGGCAGTAGTCTGAATTCTTTACTAAGAATTCCCATAGGAACCACTAAATTCAGTGCTGTGATGCTTATAATAATGCAGCAATATCATCAGAGTATGTTTTCTTGAATAACTTACTAGTTTAAAATGTAGATCCCGTACTGCGGTAAAACCGTAAATAACATTGAAAACTAAAAAATTTACTGCTAAAAGTAGGGTGGCATTACAGGCTTATGGGTGATACTATATATTAATAGATAAGTAGCATTCATTAACCTTTTGTAAAGTATAATATTGTGTGTGAGGGAGAAAGACAAAGTGTGCACATGTATACTGGGATATTTCACCATAAATCCTCAACATTTTAAGAAGAAACAAGAAAACAAAAAATGCAGTAAATGATCCATTATAAGCTCTGAATTGCTTATACAAGTAATGCATGGTTTTTATAAGGAAATCAATTGGAAGAAGAATGTTTTACAGTTTAAATGATATATTGGTACTATTTTATCTGCTGCTTATTGCAAAGCTGACATCCAACAGTTTTATGTGATTAAGATTGAATTGTGAGGTCAGCCTGCTAAGAGTGACAGAAATTCACTTGTGTAGTGGGGCTTTGCATTTCTCAACTACCCCCTGCAGCTCCCCTGTTCACCCCCAAAAGTTGTACAAGTATACTCTGCTACACAGGTACAATAGGTGCTAAGATAAGAGTATTGGATCCAGTGATTTGTTTGTGTTAGGTAATGGATAGAAACTATTTAAGTAGTCTCAGGACACTTGGGCATACTTCTAAATTTGTTAAGCAGACATTTAATGCTCAGCTTAAAAAGTTATATTTGCTGGCCTATCCAACTGCAGCAATTAATCTTTTAAATGAACTCATTCTAAACATCCAGGTATTTGTCAAATATGAAAACTAATTCACACCCTGAACGCTCTTCAATTGTTTTGCAATCAAGGCGATGTTAATTCTAGTGGTTAATTGTTTTTTCATAAATTCTGTGGTGGACCTAACTGGCATATTAACTTTGTCTGCCTATTCCTGTGCATGATCTGTTGATTCATCCTTTTTTGGATACAGTTTGGGCAAGTGAAAGAAAAACAGCTGATATCTTTAACACCTAAATTATAATAGAAAGTGCTAACTGTGTTAAAAATTGTTAAATGTAGCAACTTAGTTTTCATCTCGCATACTGACAGCTTCAAACAGGAATAGAAACTGATTTTCAACTGCTGCTTTTTGCTCTTATTTGAGACAGCATATTTCAGTTGATATAAGTACTGAGATTGAATGCCAGCTCGAAAAACATAGACTTAAATATTTATATCATTTACTTAATAACATTTAGAGTCTATGTTCTGCTTAGCAAAATTTCCAAGATGGATTCTGAGATTTCTTTTTTCCCCTTCTTCTTCTTTTTTGTAGGTAAATGTACTAGCATACATTCATAACAATGGAGTCCATGCTAAACAAATTGAAGAGCACGGTTACGAAAGTGACTGCAGATGTCACTAGTGCAGTCATGGGAAATCCAGTTACCAGGGAATTTGATGTTGGACGACATATTGCTAGTGGTGGCAATGGGCTTGCTTGGAAGATTTTTAATGGCACTAAAAAATCAACAAAACAGGTGAGGTTTTAGGAGGGAAATACGTATTGCTTCTCATCTCATTACAATGATGTTTTAAGGAACAATGCCTAAGAATACATGATTTAACAGTTGTAGAAAAAGAAATCACAGTATGTGTAACTTATCATTTTTGTGTCTCTGCTATATAAGTTGTATGGGGTGTTAAAGCAGGAGGTGTACCTCTGCTGGGAATGCATTATGCTCCTTCTGAGGT